TGGATTGGGAATTGGTATTTGTGATGTTCTTAATTTATATTTGGGTGGGAATTTGCACGTTCGGGTGTTGTTCGTGTCTAGAATTCATGTTAGGATATGTTCAATATGAATCTTGCTTTCGATCCATTAAATGCCTATGTGGTGTCGTTAATTGCGTTTAAAAGTGTCTAAGCATGGTTTCGGGTTCCACAAAGGATCTCAGGACGCGTATTTGATAAAAGAGTCAGTGGGGGGTAGGTGGGGGTAGGGGTACCCGCTGCCCAAGGTGAGACCGCCAGGCAGTGGGCAGCCGGCGGGCAGCCGTCTGCCCGCCGGGCACCCGCTGCCCGGAAGTGGTCGTCGGCGGGTGGCCCACCACCCACCGGCTACCCGCTGGTTTATCACCCACCCCAGGTCTTTGGTCTCCCCGTTTGACGTTCCCCATTCCCCGTGGCGTCACAACGGATCCCGTTTGTCGTGCTTGAGTCTAGTTTGATGTTTCGGGTACCGTTCGTAGGATAAAAGAGTCTAGGAATTGCGTGCTAGTTGAATTGGTAACCCGTTGGCCTAGGTGGAAGTCGTATGAACCCCTTAGGATTATTTTTAGTATGTGAATGATCACACGTAAGCTTATTTATGTGTCCCCCCCCCCCCCCCCCAATGTGCTATTATGTGTTATGTGATGCATGATTCCCCAATTTGGTTGCGATCAAATTGGCTATACGGGCAGTTGGATGGGTTGAGAACCATCCCAACTGTAACCAGGCCGGTTGCGATCGGTCAGGTATATAAATAGTATATAGGGTTGCGGTCCACTGTTTGGTTACTTATGAGCTGCGGTTCATTCTCCTGGCTGCGGTCCACATGGGCCTCGTGTGCTATGACCCACCGACCTGGACGCGCCAGGCGGTGTGTAGGGCCAATAAGCCCGAGGAATGCTGTAGTCCACCGACCTGAGTAATCAGGCGGTGTGTATGCTACGGGTGGCTACGATCCACCAAGTGATAGGCCAGCGATGTGTAGGGTTGTAGTCTCCGAGGATCGTCGCCCACCGACTGAGTCCCTCAGCGGTGTGTAGGGCTTGATCCGCTACGATCCACTAACTGTGCCCGTCAACGGTGTGTAGGATTGTAAGTCCCCCCTTGTAAAGTGGATCACAGTCCACCAACTGAGCGCGTCAGCGGTGTGTAGGACTGTGATCCGCCGCTGAGTTCGTCAGCGGTCTATAGGGTTGGTTGCGATCAACTCCCTTCATGCTACAGTATGAGGTAGGGTGCTGCGGGGCCGTGTTAGTGCTATATGCACTAACCCTCATGTTTGGGGCATGTGATTGGTCCCGTGGCGCCACCAAAGTGTGATTGTGTGATACGAATGATGATCAGATGATGATATGATTGATTTGAAAGTGATCTATGACCTTAGATGCATATTCTTTATGATGGTTGTCTCCACTTAACTGTTATCATTGATTATTATGCTTGCCCCTAATTGCTGAATCTATTCCTGGTTTTAAAGCTAGAGTCTCTTAAGTATATATCTTCCTGCTTCAAAATGGTTTTCATATATCTATATATATCTATCTATATTGTATTTCAACGCGTTGGAGTGGGTTACCAGCATCATTCGCTGAACAGATATATTTGGCTTTCAGGCACCGATGAGTAGACCCGGAGCGCGCTAGAGATCCGAAGCATAGATTTGTTAGTTTCCCTTCGGCCTGCGTGCCATGATTATGTATTGACATTTGTATTGAGGATTTTAGTTAGTTAGCCTGTGCATCTGAGTTCTCCAGCTCAGATGTGGCATAGCACCCCGCACTCTTATGTTTGCTTTTGGGATTTAGTGAGAATTCACCTTTATTATATAAGTTTTAAAAGTTTAAAAAGGTTCGGGGTGTTACAAAATCCCTTCGGGGAAATTTGCCAAAATGCTCAAGTTCAAGTCCAAAACACCTCAAAACTCATACTCATCAACAAAGGGACTTGAACATATAGAATAGGTAAAAGAATAACATTCATGAACCCTAAATACAAGCTCTAACATGCATAAACACAAGAATATGCACAATTTCATTCAAGAACATCATGAATCATCAAGAAAACATCAATAACAAGTATAAAATAGGTTTTGTAGGACATGGGTTACCTCTTGTAGCCTAAGGAACACTTCCTCCAACTCCTAACCTCCCTCTTGAAGGTCTTCTTCCACAAGATCTTCCAAACACAAACCAAACCCCCAACAAAACAAACAAGATTTAGATAAAGGTGATGGAAAACCAACTAATAAAACTAGACAAGCCTAGGGAAGAAAGCTTGGAGAGAAAGCTAAAATGTGTTGAGGTTTTTCCATGCGAAGTTGGGAGGGTTTTTGGTTAGCTTGGAGAGAAAGCTAAAATGTGGAGAGAATGGTAGAGAGAAGAAGAATGCTAAAAAATGATTTGGGGTGTCTTGGTTAGGGTAGGGTTAAAAATTGGTGAAAAGACCAAAAGGGCCCATTCTTTCCACATAAAGGCTAGTAGGTAATTAAAGTTAAGAGTACAAAGAATAAAGCTCAAGGTTCTCCCATTGACCAAATTAAAAGGCTAAGAGATTTGGTCAAACTAGGTCCCTTAACTAATTTCAATGGGAATTAAGAAGGAATTGTAAGGTAAAATAGGAATTAATTAAAAAGATAATTCGGGTTTAAGGAGTAAATTTCCGGGGTGTCACACTCCCCCCCCCCCCCCCCCCCCTAAAAGAGCTTCGTCCATGAAGCTTGTCGTCAAGGAATAGATAGGATTTAGGAAATAATCGAGGATTCAAATCAAAATGGAAAGATTGGTAAGATTTAGAAGTAGATTTAAGGTTCAGAATGGTGTGACAAGAATGAAAGATAAGGTTAACAATAGAAGATTTACCGAAAAGGAATGTTAATCCTACTTCAAATTTAACTCCCTACCTAATACTAACCACCGATCTACCCAGATCTAGACGTCTTAGTTAAGGCACAAGCAACAAACTATAAACTGACACTACAAGAACACTTAAGCTAGATCACCAGGGATTGAAGAACAAGGATTGCGTCTTTCAACTGATCACCCCTGACTTCTTGAAACATAGGGAGCATGATCCTCATGCTATATATCTTGATCTTGGCATCCGCTTGACCTTGATCCGTTACTTCCCATACATACTTTGCAGATCTTTACACAACTCTTCGGTTAACGCCTTAGTAGATTTGAGAGAGAAAGCCTTGCCTCTCTACTTGACACGTCTGCGACCCATTTGCTTTACCCTCAAGGCATAAGATAACCAAAACATACTCTTTAACGAGCTCTAACCTTAGTCTTTGGCTCACGTTCAAAACTTTCTAAGTTAAGATATATTTCACACTCTTCTGATCCATATAAGCCTTGCACTGAACCTTATGGTCATGCATGATGTTCCCAACTCCTTCAAACGAAGACCACTGTTGCCAGCTCCAAATCATGAGTAGGGTGTTCCTCTTCATAACTCTTGGCCTATCTTGATGCATAGGCGACCATCTTAACATTTTACATTATCACACAACCCACACCTCCCTTCAAAACAACACATGAAAACTTCAAATCCTTTGGTTCCTGATGGGAAATGTCCAAAACGGGAATGGTAACAAATGAGAAGGATATTTTAGGGGAAAGCATGCTCAATATGAAGAGGTTCGACTCAAAGGGAAAGATTAGAATGAAAGGTTTAGGTTTCAAACTCAACGACAACGTTAATTAGGAATAGGATCAAAGTCATCAAAGTTGCAACTTAGGAAATAAGGTTGCCACCTTGCATAGAATCATTTGGAAAGAGATATCAAGAATTAGATTTGAAGGGATAAAAAGGATTTCTTAACGGAACGGTATTCGATTTGGCAAGCAAGGATAAGGAATTCAATTTTAAGGGGGTTAAGGATTCTCGAATTAAAGCAATTACCCCAGTTTGAAGCTTCGATCACAACATATTAGTGAAATGACGGATCTTTTTCTCGATTCTAATGCATCCCAACTTGCCTTCTTAGTTGCACGATTCTTTCTTGATAACCATCTCTGGTTGGGTGAAATACAGATTAGACCTCCATCTTATGCTCCACGCTGTTTGTGGTAATCTTCCAGAAAGGGTGACGTAAGACCACATTTCTATCGAAGACATCATCTTGGAATATTCCATGATGCCTTGCCTTAGGTTCCACTTATGTCTTTACTAGTTGTTCGGTAGGTCAAAACTCGTTCACAGTTAATCATCTTGTGGTCTTCATCCGTCAACTAGGTATAAACCAACATTGTTCTTCCTTGTCTTGGTTAACAGCGAGTCTTCCATGAAAACCTCATCGTCGCCAAACCCGCTTTACTTGAGGAAAAATCCCAATATTAGGATCGGTCCGTAAGTTCACCCTCGCCAGTCTGAACCTCTTTTATAAAGCATTTCTCAATCTTCCCACACTTCACAAGATCCGTGTGGCGTTGCTTCTCATCTTCATGCGTCTCATGGGGTCTAGGCTTCTCCTTCCTATTCATCTTAGTCTCCATCGCTTCCAAGTTCATCATTTCTAACTTTCCTCTTCTTTGCCTCTTCGAAGGTAGATGGGGCTACCATCACTCTGAATACACCGACCTCGCATTCCAACACTTCGTACTCCAAAACTCCCCGAAGTTGACTCTTGATTCTTTAATCTTTGAGGATCTCTATCGCGCTGATTCGGGGATGTCCACTTGGCGTGAGTTGACTTCTTCTTAGCGATTCCGCGACTGCTCTTGTCATCCCTTCATGAGCGAGAGTCTTCAAGTCTTGATCTTTAAAATCTAATCGACGTCTTGGCTTCTTTCGGACTTTAGTAGCGTGAAACTTAGACTTCAACCCTGGAGATAAGCGCAGATTTGAACGGAGACTGCACGAAAGTCTACACGAAAGAAGAACATACCAGAAAAAGTTGTAGAAGTTAAAGCAATTTCTCAGGAGGCTGAGTTGAATGAAGAAAGCAGTGATGAAACGCCTCTCGATAAATTAACAGCAAGGATGAAGACGAGACAAGAAAAATTGATGAAAGAAGCACAAGAACTAGTAGTGCAAGAAGCTTCCATCACTCAGTCTGAGCAGAAGGAAGTCTTGGATAAGGCTGATCTCGAAAGTGCACAAGAACTTATAAAGCAAGGAGCCTCTGCCATTCAGCCCAAAATTATGAAAGTTATTGAAAAGGAAGACCTGGACAAAGCACAAGAGATGATAGCACAAGAACGCTCTAATGTTGAACCATCCTGCAAAGAAGCCGCCACTTTACCCTTTGTTGGGTATGGAGGAGTAAAACCTAAAACCCCACTTGTGCCATATGTTGACTCCCCGTCAAGCTCAAATGATTGGATTGAGGAGTCTTCACCTGATCTAATCCCTCCACAAGAACGCACTAATACAGAGAAGGTCGAAATAACTCTTACACAAGAACCTGTTGAAGTGGAAAGGGACGAAAGTCTAACTCAAACCTCAAAGATTGATCACTCAAGTCTCCCACAAGAACCTCACAAACCAGCAGAGACGAAAGGAGTGATCAACGGGCATACTCTTCCGGAAGACCAGGCTCTCCACCAAGTGGTTACACATGAATATCATCGAGTTCTTAGTTGGCAACAATGGAGAACTTCACATCTTGAAACTCTCGTTGAAAGACTTAACAATATGTGGGAAGAAGAAAGGTTCGCTTTTAAGTGGCTAGAAACTCAAGATGTTTATGAAGCCACAAGACTTGAAATCATACATCGAATCTACTCTTACAAACTGACCAATTGATGTGTTGCCAAAGGCAAAACCCCATCCATAAATCTTGCGATCGCGAAACCAACTCTTCATAAGGAAACTGCGGAAGAGTTGAAAACATTAAGGGATGTCATGAAAAATTGCAGAGTCAGAGATGAGCTTGCAAGATTGAACCGCAATGACCCGTCAGCTTCTACAAGCTATAAGCCACATCGTGATCCTAATCCAAGTTCTTCAAATGATGTTGGCAATAGTGATGAAGACGAGGACAATGGTGACGAAGATGAAAGTGATCAAAATGACCCGAACCAAAAGGATCAAGATGCTGATAATGATCATAGTGATGATGAACATTATACTGGTGGAAACGATAAAGATGATCATGATGGTGATGATCAAAATGATAATGACAGTAATCATGGCGATGATCACAATGCTAGGAATACAATGATCGTTAACTCAAATAGCAGGTCGAATGATTCTGACTCGAAAGAACAACAACACGAACCATCCAACTCGGGTCTTGCTAGAAAGAACATTCTTCAGATGCTGATGATGGTGAACTAAGTCCAAGATCAGCCAGCGATGGAAATTTGGATGCATCACTCGCTGCGAGACAAGACGACTCTGGTCACCAAGAAATGCATGAACATGATCACCATGCTCCCTCAGCTGATAGCCTTAGTACAACAGTGATTCTATCAGCACTCGGCAAGCTTAGAGTTGAAAGTGATGCAAATTTCAAGGAGTTGAGGAAGACACTATGGCATACCAAAAGAGCAAGTGTTGAAACTATAAAATGTTTCTCCTCCGAAGGAAAAGCAACCCGAGAGCAAATTTCTGCTCAAAATACCTCTTCTGACCAAGTCACAAATTCAGCAATCAATGATTTCGCTAAAGAAGTGGAACATCTACTTTAAGATTTGGTACTAGTCCGGGCAAATCAACAGAAGCTTGAAGAAAATCAAGAAAAAATCCTCAAGGAACATCATCACATGAAGCATTCAAATTACAACCTTAAGGAAAGAATTAATCTTGCATGCACGAAAGTTGACTTGGTACATGATGATTGTAACACCCCCCGAATTTTACCAACAATTTAAAACTTAATTTAAAATATTAATAGTCTAATCATCAAGCATCATAAAGCGGAAGCTAACATAATTCGGGAAAGTGCTATGCCACACCCATAAAACTACTGGTGCACAGGCTAAGTCTACAAATCCAATCAAAACATAACAATTATCTAAGGCACCCAGGCCGCAAACTAAGGCACACATGCCATATCTATCTAAGGCTCACAGGCCAACATCTAACAGGAAGGAAGGCAAGGCTACGCTAACTAGAGTCCACATCTTGCGCGCTCTCAGATCTAATCAAAACCTGTAATACAAGCGATAACACCCGGTCAGCGAATAAAGCTGGTAACCCACCAATACGCGTTAAGTATTAATATATATACATAGTTATAGGCAAAACCATTTAGAACTGAGGAATACAGTATATATCATTTGAAAACTAAGAAATGAGACAACAATTAACATATCACGCTCTCAATAAAGATCAAGACCAAGAACTTCAATTAAAGCAATAGGGACCAAAAAAAAAAAAGCGACAACCACAACTCTAAAAGCAACCTACCATTCACAAGGTAGAGTTCATCATAGACATACTCATAAGCAGGAAATACAACAAGCACATAATGACAAGTTTGACGTTCCAACCTTATGCCTTGTTCCAACCTTATGGTTACTCCCAACCTTATAACTAGTTCCAACCATTACCTCCTAGTGCCACCCTGTACTTCTGAGTCCAACCTTATTCCGCCTGGGACTGTCATCCCCCACCAATCTCATAATATTACCACCGATCTCTCAGTACACGAGGGTACCGTTAAATAACACAATATTACCACCGATCTGGTGAGCAAAGCTCAATAATATTACCACCAATCTCATTCATAGTCACATAGAGTCATTATCAAGAGGATTGGGGCTCATCAATAGCTCAATCAAGTATCAACAAAGGGTACAACAATTTGAACAAGATAACATCATAAGAATCAACCAAGAGGTTTCAATAAAGACATGAAGCAATACTCAACAACAATGGACTTCAATCCAATGCCAAAATGATTGACAACACGAGTTTCCAACCCTCAACAAGAAGGAACAAACCCTACATACTAGCATAACAACATCAAACTTGCATGCTCATCAAATGGATAAACCAAAATGGATCCAACGAACCTTTAAGACTCATATTAGTCAAACGAATCACAAGGTTAGACCCTTAGCATGATTCAAGACACCAAATCCAAACATGGATTCCTAAGACATACGAAACATCAACAACTCTCACAAAAGCTTAATAATCCAACAACGGGATGTCAAAACATCAAATACCAAATGGAAAGGATCACGGGGAAACAATTCCCCGCATCACCACAAACGTTCCTCGCGGGTGGGACCACGGGTAAGCCCCCACCCGTGGGCCTGCCCGCGGGGTACAACCCACAACACCTTCGTTCCCTACGGGTGGGGCGGCGGGGAGGCCACTGCCCGCCGTTCCGCCCATGGGGTACCACCTGTATACACAATTTTCGCTTCGGGGAAATTCATCAACAAAGCCATGTTCAAGTCTAGAACACTCAAAACCTCACATACAACAAAGATATGACTTGAACCCAAGAATAGCTCAAAGAAAAGCATTTAAGAACCCTAAATGCAAGCTCTAAACATGCATTATCACAAGATCATGCATCAAATCACTCACAACATCAAGAATCATCAAATAGAAGCCAAGAAATATCAATAGCAAGTATAAAATAGGTTTTGTAGAGCATAGGTTACCTTTGTAGACCAAAAACCTCTTTCTTCTTACCCTCCTAAGCTTTTTCTTGAAGCTCTTCCTCACTAAGGGCTTTTCACCCAACCAAACCACAAAGAAACACCAAAATAAGATAAAGATACCTTAAAAAACTAACTAAAAACACTAAACAACCTAAGATCTTACCCTTTCCTATGCTAGGGAGAAAGAAAGGTGGAATCTTTAGGTGGAACCTTGCAAGGATACAAAACCCTTCTTTTAGCTTGGAGAGAAAGCTAAGATTTCTTTTAGAGAGAATGTGGAGGTTTTAAGACTTGGCTAGCATGGGAAATGAATGAAATTTCTTGCTAGGGAAACTTGAGCATCAAACATGTGTGAAAGGTCAACTTTACCCTTACTAAAGTTAGGAAGACAACATGGTTGAGGTACAAAGCATAAGGCACGAGGTACACATGGTTGACTAAGGAGACTAGTCAAACTCTAGCCCCTCGACTATTAAATTTTAGGATTTAGAAAGAAATAATCCAAGGAAAGCAAGAATTAATTCCTCAATTAATCACAATTAAGGTTTAGATTTATGGGGTGTCACAATGATCTCTTTCGTGTTGGTAAAAATCAAATGGCCTCTTTGAACTATGTACGAGACATCTCAATTTCTCTTCGAACTCTCACTCAACCTCTGTCCTCGGCAACTGATGATGACAAAAAGGGGAAAGAAGAGACAGAGATGACGATGGCAACCCCGAAAGAAGAAATAAAGGTGGAAACAATAGAAGAGATGAAAAAGAAAATAACTCAAAAAGAGATGGATGAAGTTCTAGCAAACTCATCCTACCTCCATTCTTTGGGTTATCTCAATGAACCCGTCAGGCCAGTCAGAAGCAAAGGGAGTAAATTTGAAAGAAATGGATGCGTGACAAATCTATAACATTGGATGCAGAAGGACAGTTCCTCCCATTCGAACCATATGTTGCCGGAAGTGGAAAACGCTTTGAGGAATGCAACATACCTGTCAGTATGAAAGGACGAGAAAATCTAGCCAGACAAGAATATCAAAGAGCCTGAAACAAAGAAATAAGAGAAGAAAATGAAAAGCGGGGGCAAGAAGTAGAAGATATCAAGATGAGAAGTGAACAAGAGCAAGCATATTTTTAGGAAATACAAGAGAAAATAAAAAACCTTAGTGCAGTTGGAAAGGATACTAGCTCTAATGCCAAACACATTGCTGTCTTCAAAATTCATGAAGAATCTGGTAAGAGTTATGTTGAGGGAATGAACTCCATAGAGCTTGTCATTTGGTGGAACAATAGGGTCATTCCAGGATGAAATGTAGTCGAAGCATACAATAACTACACCAACTACATCTTCTCTGATAAGTATGCAGAAGTGGCTCGTGACAAAGAAATCCGAGCATTCAGGAAAATTATCAATGATGAACTCGACTACCAGTCAATGGCAAGAAAATAAGAAGCTCAAGAGAAGGAGTACAAACATCAAAGAAATTTCTACAGAGAGAAAAGTTAATGAACATGTAATAGCTTGATATCTCAACTCTCTTGTAATGCATTAAACATCAAAGAAATTTCTCTTTTTGCAGTTTGTGTTGAGTTTTTATATTATTATCTTGTTTATCTAGAAATCTTTTGTAAACTCATATGTTTGGCTGATGAAAAATTCCTTCGCGGATAATTTCAGTCTTATAGCAAGACTATAGGTTTTGACATCACCAAAAAGGGAGAAATTGTTAGGAACAAGTGCATTTAGATGTTGATGATACCAAACTTACTAGGAATGTAGACCCCTCTTTTACTCTCGTTATTTTGCCTCTTTCGTGCTAAACGAAAGTTGTTACAACTCACCATGTGATTCGTGCTCAGTAGCATATTTACACAAATCAGAGTCGTATTTAGTAAGTTAGAACTGTTTGAAGAAGATAGAAGATCAAGACAAGATCGAGAGATAAGCTAAGACTGAAATCATGGAAGGGTACGGTCCATCTCTCGTGTATTAAAAACTCAACGAAAGATAAGGACAATCTTTCGTTACCCTATTGTAACACCCTGTGTTACGACCCCCAATTATTTAATCACTTACCCTAAAAAGAGAATTAAAAACCCGTTAATCAACTAAGAAAGGTCCACCATAGTCCATGGGCCCACATCCCTATAACCAATCCCTTAGTCCTATAAGGAATAGAATTAGCAAGCCCATAGTATTTCGACCCCAATTAGGACTCTTGGAAAAATATATATATATAAATAGGGTCATAAGAGGCACCTAGATCACACATCACAAATAATCTTTCACCACACAAGAAGTTCCAAGAATCCCCTTAGGAGAAATCAAGAAAGAATAAATCTTAAAGAAAGACCCTTCATAGCCAAGGAAATTAATTAAGGCTAAGAGGTAACCCATGTCTCAACAAAACCTATTTTCTTCGCTATAATCTCCTTCCTTGCCTCCCTCTATATTCTTGTGTCTTGATTGAATTCTTCTATGATAATTATGTTATGTTCTTGATGATTGATAAGATGATTTATATGCTTTCTTGATAATCTTGATGATCTTGATAATAAAAAGAAGTTCTTGATTATGATGTGATGATTCTTGAAGAATCTTGATATTTTCTTGATGTTAAAGATAAAATATGTTCTTGATGATTTGGGTGGGATCAGAGCCCTGGGTTGGATTGGGAATTTGTATTGTGATGTTCTTGGTTTATATTTGGGTGGGAATTC